ATAGGCGTCAGGTGGTTATGCTAAGCTAAGCTAACTGGGGGTAGCCGATAGCAACAAACACGAGATAAAAAGTCAAACTCATCCTTTAAAATTAATTTTTGCAGAGTTCATTTCAGTCCAGTCCAGTTCTCGAAATGACATTTAGAATATTTAACGCTTTTTTTAAGCATTCAGTCTCTCCACACAGCCTGCATACATCCAACATGCAGAACCTGCTCAGATGTTCTGATCACAGAGAAAATTAGAGACATGAGCGCATATCGGTGGATTTGACCCTGACTTCTAACTGCAGCATCTGATGTGTTTTTTTCTTTGCCCGTCCACCCTCCTCCAGATTTTTAACTTCTCCATTGTGTGTGTGTGTGTGTGTGTGTGTGTGTGTGTGGGCTGTGTGCAGTGCTTGGATGCTGCTCTCTGCCTCCTCCACATATCCAGCGAGTTATGTAAGAACACTAAAGAGTAGCCCATATGGTGCTGAAAGAGTATTTATAAATCTGTCTCCGTTAATGCAAAAGCAGCTCGCTACCCCCGGAGCCGCGTTATAACAAGTAAGGCTTGATATATAAATGCTTACTTTCAGAGCGTTTAGCGGCACCACCTCACTCCTCTTTCTGCCCGGCATTGTTAGACGGGAACAGGAGGCTTTGAGACAGGATTCAATAAATGTCCAGGGGAGGAAACTGTAGATTCATGAGCCACTTAGCCGTATCTATTGCACTCAAAGAGAGTCCTGTTCTCTGTCTGGGAGTGTGTGTTAAGGCTTGTGTGTTGACGATGGAGGGGTGGGAGTGCATTTCTTTACCGGTATTGCAGTAAAAAGTCTGTGCATGCATTCACACGCCGCTGCATCATCACTTCAATTAAAATTAATTGAGGTAAAGCAAATGCAAAAAACCTGCAGCACTTTGAAGGACAGTGACTACTTTGAATGCTCATAACGACATGAGAATTTATCCGGCTACACGTTGACATCTAATTAACAAGGGATCAGAATAGCTGTTCTTGTTTAATGTGTAGTTAAAAGGGGGGGAAAGCACAGCTTAATTACCAGGCATCAATACAGCACTACATGCTGAAACCGTGTTTATTTAAGGCTTGAAAGTCACCTCAGTTCATAACAAGAGCTGAAGTGGGGAGGGTTGTGTGAGGCTTCTACAAAAACACACTGCCCTCAAGTGGCTGGTCACAAAGCACACACTTTAATAAAGGGCCTTTAGAGGATTGTCATCAAGTCCGTTTGTTGTTTTTTTATAGGCTCAAAGACACATCCTGAGCAAAATCAGCTGTCAACACTATACCTGAGTATTTCAGCCTTTAAACTGCAGCGTACAGATGACAGCCTGTTCTCGTAGATTAATGGTAGCAACTGAATTTGCTTGAGTTCCTTGAAGTCGTTCCACCTCTCATCCAAGAAGCTTCATCAGTTCTGACTGACTAGTTGGGAGTTCCACATCCTTATATGCTTAAGGATCCATAACGAGGGGGAGGAGCAACAAACCCCCAACTGAAACCAAAACTCAGGTGTTAATGGCTCCTTAAGGATATAAGTATGTGGAACTCCCAACTAGTCAGTCAGAACTGATGAAGCCTCTTGGATGAGAGGTGGAACGTCTTCAAGGAACTCCAGCAAGTCCAGTTGCTACGATTATGAGAATAATAATCAAGGGAGCACCACAAGGCTCAGTGTTCGGTCCTTTGTTTTTTTAACAAGCGAGCATAACCATGACCTGGATGACTGAGAATCTTCACAGACAGATGACAGTCTGATGAACACAGAGTCAGGATTCTGGGGTTTTACAACAACAACCCCCCCCAAAAATAATCCTGTCAGCTACTTTCTGTTTAACTGTTAGCATGCACGGCTGAATTACTCCAACATTACAACTTGCCATCAAGTCGTTTTACAGTGTTTTAGCAGAGTCGCAGGTGAGCTGGTGTGCTCGAGAACGGGCTATTCTGATGTAGAAAAAATGTAAATATGTGACATTGCCACACTGATATTGGTTTTAGGGGTATCAGTCAACTCAATACACCACCAAATATAGTCCATTTTGATTTTAGGTTTTTTCATCAGCAACAGTGAGCTTAATATTAATAATTAATTAGCACTGAACTCATTTCAGTGGTGAGAAAACAATAATTAAAAGCAGTGGTTTTGAGGTACGTTGATGTAACATTTTGAACAATACGCTTATGTACAATCCATGTCATACTTTTAATTCCTTATACTTCATTAGTGTGGTATGTGTGTGCAATTGTGTTTGTGTGTGAAGCTATGACTGACTGTAATGTGTCTCACTTTAAACACTTTACAAGAGGAGAATAAACAATTTTGTTGTATATTATGTACAATGAAAATAAAGCTGATGTTATTATTATTGTTATTATTGTTATTCTCATTATTGTCATTATTATTATTATTATTGTTTACAGTTAAGGATAGAACATTATTATGACCAAAGATGTCCCTTTTCCAGATTGTACATTTACTTTTGTAACTACAAACCTGTAAATACCCACTAAAAATGCTGTGTACTTCCAACAGTTGAGTTTAATATCCATCAATATTCAGGGACGTATCACACCTCCATTTAAAGCAATCTCAAATTAGATTTAGTGATTAAAGGCTAAAAGGGAAAACGACACTACATATATAAAATTTGCTTTAAAAAAAACAATCTTTGCATTTTAAAATTGAGACCTCGCTGAAATCAGCAGCTTTATTCCCAACGATGAATTACTTCTCTCCCAAATCGCATTATTTACGGTTTTTTAAAACGAGCCTTTGAACGCATCAGAGCACCGCCCCTTCTCCGCGTTCTGGCCTCTGATTGGCGGAGCCGCGCGTCCGTCACAGGCCAACATCGCAGGCAGCCGGAGAGTGAGGCGAACAGGTTGAAAGTGCTGGAGGCTCGAACAATCAAATACTGTTGGTTGCAGGTTGTAACCGGACCTAACACGCAAGCTGGTGAGGACTTCTATTGTTCTTTGTTTGAATTTCCATAATTTATCGTTTTTTGTTTTTTTTTTGCGGCCTGGCGCACAGAAATATTTGCTTTGCGACGCATGAAAAATCAATTCGCGCAGTCGAGAGCTTTGCTGTGGTCAGATTATTTCCAGCGAGCTATCGCGTTAGTACTCGTGTGTTACCGTTGGCTAGCATGCCGCTATGTGCCCAACAGCTCATCATAGCCGGCGCTGCTCTTTGGACTTTTATATCAGTCACAACGCGTTTATACATTAGTCATTACAAGCACGGTTTCGCTTCATAAAAACAGCCAGTTCTCGGGTTTATTAGCGGCTCCGTGAACGACACAATCCTGTGTTGTCCTGTTAGCTTAGCAGCAAGCTAACGTGACTGTTGGTGGGATTTCTAGCGTCTATTATTAAAGGCTCGGATGTTGATTATTTAACAGCTGTGACCTCCTAAAACGACACGGAAGGCTAGAATACACGTTGGGTTTAATGATCCATCCAGACGGGTCCAGTCGCACATGTTCTGGCCGCACATGGCTGCATATGGTACCTCAGAGGAGCCCAGCCTTGTTGTTTGCTCTGTTATTGTTCTGCTCATATGTACAAACAAACGGACTGAAGCCTTTTGCCACAGCTACTGTACACGATCGCATTTATATGCCCATAAAAAACACAAATAGCCTCATAAATAACAACAGACGTGTACTCCAAAAGGCAAAGTAACTACAGCTCCTACAATACATTGATTAGTCATCAACTATTACATTGATCATCAGCTCTGCTTACAACAGAATAATCAGCTGGAGTGATTGTTTAGGGGGAAAAAGGTCAAAATTCTCTGATTCCATCCACATAACTTTTGTCTTTCCTCCTCTGTGTGAATCATCTGAATGTCTCTGGGTCGTGGACAACAAAAGGCATTTGAGGACGTCGACTCAGGCTGATTTTTTCCCACATTTTCACTATTTTCTGACATCCTATATATGCAGTCAGTGAATCGGGACTGTAATAGACTAATATAATCGACAGACTAATTGACAATCAAAAAATAATCATTAGTTAGAGCCCTGAAATGAACCTAAAAGAAAGGACATAGTAAACGCTTAAAAGGAAATTGGTAAGGCAGCACAAAGAGTAGTATAGTGTGTATAAAAAGAAAATAAATGTAATATGTGAAAGGGACGTGGATTTTAGTACGTGCTGAAGGAGGTGGAAGTCGCAGCGGTTCTATTTCTTGATGATTGGTTTGATTTTAAATATATTTAAGAAGCACCTGGCAGTAGTTAATCAGAAATTCTGTAATGCACATTTGATTCTAGTGGAGCAGTGGTTAGCACCGTTGCCTCACAGCTAGAAGGTCGCCGGTTCGCATCCCGGTGAGGACACTCCATGTTCTCCCCGTGCAGCGTGGGTTCTCTCCGGGTTCTCTGGCTTCCTTCCACACAGTCCAGAAACATGTTGAGGTTAATTGGTGATTCTAAATTGTCCGTAGGTGTGAATGTGAGTGTGCTTGGTTGTCTGTCTTTAAGTGTAGCCCTGTGATAGACTGGTTACCTGGCCAGGTGAACCTGCCTTCACCCTGAGTCAGCTGGGATAGACTCCAGCCCCCCATGACCCTAGTGAGGATTAAGCAGTGTATAGATGATGGATGGATGTTAATCGTAGGAGACGATGCACACAGTGTGTTAAACATGGACATGTAGCTCTAAGGCTGCCTAATACTGGAAAACAACGCAACCAAAAAAGAAATTCCACAATATGTACTACAATATAAAAAACATGAACTTTGACAAGCTGAAATTTAAAATAAATATTTGAGGGGGGAAAAAACAATCAAAACTATTAGTCTGATTTTTGTAGGGGAGTGCATCTGCAAAGACGTTTAGAACCTTTCACATGACATCCAAAATAGTTTCTTGCAGATCCGCCTTTGCATTTGTCACACAGAGCTTCGTGGTGCCAATTTAAATAGTGAAGCAAATTAGTTGGGTTGCTTCGTGGACTTGCAATGACAGAGTACCTCTTTCTGATCAGTTGAACACTTTTTCTGTCGGCAAAATATTTCTAGACATTTGACGTTTCCTTTTGCAACTAAATCTTCCTTTTTTAGTGTTTCTCTCTTGTTCCTCGCTCAGTTTGCTGTGTCAACAAACTATGCGTGTTGTGAATAATACTAAAAAAATACTCTTTAATGTAAGTACATTCGACTGTAGATTAGTCGTGGAAAAGTTTTGCATCAAGCAGCAGAAAAAGTTGAGTTACTGCATCGCCTGTGATTTGACTACTGCACACACAACGATACCAAAACTGAAACTGTACTCTGTGCAGCCCTAGAACCCATGAGTCTTAATTTAAAATAAGGCATTAAAGTTGCCGTAGCGCGTCACATGATGCTGCTGTCACTGAAACTAGCTTCTTGACTGCACATCTTGCTAACCAGGCTGCGTTTCCTGTTCCTCTTCTACTTGACACATGACGGTTGACATGTTGATTTGAACGGAAGTAATCGCTCCTCCCTCCCCTGCAGGAAGGGCTCAGTGCAGCGTGGGTGCCCAGGGATCCACTGCCTGAGTGTGGGGAGAGTAGCGGCCGAGACCCCAGAGACATGAACCACACGAAGGGCGGCCTGGTCATCTTCACCGCCAACTCGCACCCCGCGAGCCGCGAGCTGGGCAAGAGGATTGCGGAGTGAGTAGCGTTGCTGACACAAACACGAAAAACAGTTATGCAGGCAAGACGGGTTTCTTTAGAGTAAACAGTTCATGCGAGACCTTGAGGAACAGGTCTGTCACCTCCATCACGTCAGATGTCAAGAAGCAACGTTAAAACTCTTCAGTGCATTTGTTTTTTTTGTACTCAGGCTTCCTCGATGCTAAAATCGGACGTGCTTTCCATCTAAATTACTGCACAGCGCTGTGTTTACGATGCAGCTAACCACACAAAGCTTCATGGCAAACATTCAGGACACAGAAAAATATACTTTGCAAAAAATATTCAAATTCAGAGCGACTATTTGCAGCAGCTTCATTCATACAGGAATACACCCCCTGGCTAGAAGTCATAGTGCTCCAGTATTGGCTAATGTGTGTAAACAACTAAATATTCAACTTGCTCAAAGGAGGTGCAGACGTTGTATTTTTCTTGAGTCGACTATGGGAGCCTAAATCTGCTTAAAAAGGTTGATTTTGTGTTTCCTTTTCTTGCTCATAATTATCCAGGAGTCCGCAGTAGAAGAAGGTGCCTTGTTAAGTACACAGCTTTTGGAATGCAAATAAAATCTGGTCTGTGGAGGGAAATTATTTGAAAGGGTTACTGCGACACATAGGGAGACGGCACACCTCCAGTTTTGGCTATTTGTCTAAAGAGTCACCTTAAATTATGATCTCATGGGTCCTAAACACCTGCAAGAACTAGTAAGAGCAGTATGAGCAAAATATGCGTCTTTCCTGAGCTATTGCAAAGTGTTTTTAAATCAGAAGCGTGCACGTTCATTGATAGCAGCTTTATATCTAATGCAAATACTGCATGAGACGTCCTTTAAATCTGCAACTCTGTGACATTCCCTTCAATATTTAGACTATTTTTTATCCCTCCTCTCAGCTTAAACAGTGACCAGTGGGCCTCCTTTTTAAAATAACAACTCCAGTTTTCTCGCTGCAGGATGAGCAGCGTCGCTCACATTTCATCGTGTTAAGTTTAAACAAAACATTAACGGACTGCGACGCCTAACTGAAATGGAAGCTTGGTTTACACAAGAACGTCGGAGCGTGTTTATAGAACAAACAGTGTTTGGCTTGGCGTATCAGACGCTAAAAGTTGGAGGTGTGCGTCTGTGAGGAACGAAAACACAGCATGTTAGCACAAGTCTAAGTAGTCGTTTATTTTTGTATTGTTTTACCTACAGTGTTTTTCCTACCACGCCAATTTTCATTTTCTGTTTCCCAGGCGGCTGGGGGTGGAGCTTGGCAAGGTGCAGGTGTACCAGGAAGCCAACAGAGGTAAGATAGTGTTTTTAAAAAAAGTAGTGTCAGTTAAGGAAAGTGCACCTGCAACATGTTCAGGGTGGAAAACATTCTGGAAGTGCAATGACATAAATGGACTTTCGACGGCAAGTGTTTGGAAATGCAGACCGTCCTAGACATGGCTGGAGCTAGAGAAGAGTTGTGAGCATACGAAGTTGTGTCATCTGCATGGAGACGGCTATTATCAGGAGAGTTGAAACAGTTAGCTGATGTATTGATTCAAGGATTGACAGAAATATATCTTCATTGTCAATTAATCTGTTGATTTTTTTTTAGCGATTAATCTATAAGAATCTATACGAATCTTGAATCTTTAAGTTGTTTGGTCTATCAGAATATTGCGAAACATTTCGACCAGTGTTTTCCAGAACCCAAGATGACGTCCTTGAATGTCTTGTTCTGTCCACAATCCAAAA